ACGCAGTGTGGTGTCCCTTGCCAGCTCTCCTAGACAGCGAGCAGAGCCCCGTTCTCCTGGGATCGTTGGGCCACACCTGACGATGCTCAGACTTACTCCTGGCCGGTGCTCAGGGACGTGGACCCCTGGACCGGACGTGGGTTGGCTGCATCAAAGCTGTGCTGTCTCTCTGGCCCTGGTACACACTCTTAGCCACCACAGGCCAGCATGCTCAGCTGGGCCACTGGCCCAGGGGTCCTGAGGACACACCCTGTGTGGAGAGACACTGCCCCAGGCCACACTTGGCCCGTGGCACTGAAGGCTGCCTCCGAACAATTCCGTTCACTTATTTTTATGGACAAGGTGTCTCAGTGTTTCTATTAAAACCCCCCAACCAGAAAATAGTGTTGGGCTCTGTCTCATTTTTGCAACAATTGGCAGTCACGTGAGCGTAAGCAAACTGACCCAAGGCTGTTTTCCATTTAATAATTTTAGCAGAAGGCAGACATTGTCTCCCTCATTTACAATCTGACGATACTGGACGAGCATGATTCAGGAGGAAAATCAAGACGAGATCCTCAAGGCTTACTCTTGAGTGTAGGCGGATTCTCTTGGTGTTTGCGACATTTAACAGTCACTCAGTTAACACCTACTGGACCACAAACACTTAGAGAAACTGGGGCCGCCAAGGTCCCTAAGGCTCTGGCCATCTCCATTAGCCATTTCATTCCTTTATTAAGACAAAGCCCGGTTTTAGGGGCCAGAGAGATAGTGTAGTAGGGCGCTTGCCTTGCATGTGACCAACCCCGGGTCGATCCCGGGCACCCCATATGCCCAAGCCCTGGCCAGGGAGATTCCTGAGAGAAGAGCCAGGTGTAAGGCGTAAGTACTTCTGGGTGTGGCCCTAAAACAAACAGGCACCCCTCCAACAGGTTTTAGGTTTGTTTCTGCTTAAAGAGTTTATTTAGCATGTCGTTTACAGACACTCACACGTAGTGTTGGAGCAGGGCACTGTTCCAAGGGCAGCAGGCTGTGCACACACTTTGCCCAGACACACACGGTGTCATTCCATGTTCTAGGACACGCTCCACAGAGTACGCTTGTACAAAAGATGAGCCTGGAAACCAGCGGATTGGCATTTAATGATAGCGAGAACATGAGCACACTGAACCTTACGGGTTTTTTTTTCCTTTCTTTCTCTCTTTGGAGATTTATTTATGAGTCTCTGGAGAAAGGCCGGTAGTAGAGCTCACATGGTGGCGCTGGAGTTGGTTCCTGGAGGTGACTGTCAGTGCATCCAGGGGTACTGGGAAGTGGGGGAAGGTAGCCCATCCCAATTCCGAGAAAGCCTGGAGATTTCAGTCACAAAACCCACATACCCGAATTTTCAACAGGTCATATCTCGCTGAGGTCCATCCTGAGATGGTCAGGCTGGGGTATGGCAGTGATTCTGATCGTGGAAGCTGGTGGCTGCCGGGGGCTCTGCTTGTGAACCTTCCAGTTGTTGGGGGCCCAGGCTTGCCCTGTGACAGCCAGAGGACCCTGGGGGATGCCTTCCCCGGCAAGGAAGCCAGCAGAGAGGCTGCTGTAGGAGTGGGTGCTGTCCTCTTGGGAGTTCTTTTTTTCTGGTTTTGGGTGACACCCAGCGGTGCTCAGGGGTTCCTCCTGGTTCTACACTAGGAATCACTCCTGGCAGTGCTCAGGGGGCCATGTAGGATGCTGGGGATTGAACCTGGGCTGGCTGTATGCAAGGCGAGTGCCCCTCCGTGGTGCCATCACTCTGGCCCTCCTGGGAGTTTGGCCCCTGTGACTTGCCGATGGCCGCCACGCTTTCCCTCCCAAGCTGGTCTGAAAGATCGCACAGTCTCGCCTGCTTGGCTTTGTGTCAGTGCCCCGCAAAAGGGACGGGGCAGTGGAGGTGCCAACGCATGAGGTTGCATTCAGGCAGCCGCTTCTGTATTCCATGTTGCTGGACACTTTTTCCGTGGCAGAATTCTCTCCGTTTTGGCTGCTGAGAGAGGGATGGTCTTGGCGCTATGGGTCGGCACTCATTGCTGCCCTTGCTGACCACATCCTCCAGGTGTCTGCTGATGGGCTGTCTCAGCAGAACCTCTCCCACATCTCCACCCTTCTCAGCCCCTCCTCACCCACGTGCTGTGCACACCCCAAGGCTTCCACACTATCTTTGTGTCTCTGGAAACACCTTCAAAATGTTTCATGCAGTCTGGCAGAGTTTACCCAACAGAATTGGCAGTTGCCAGGCTGTGCCGCCATAACCGGTAACATCGTGTCAAGGCGATTCCAGTGACTATCATGGTGGTCTTCTCATCAGCTCCGAGGGCCTCCAGGCCCTGCTCACAGCTTCCTGTGCCCTGGGAGCTGTCACGATGCCGGGGCGAGTGAGGGGTTGGGTGAGAGAGGCAGTGTCTGGAGCACGAAGAGCCCATCTGTCTGGGTGGGCATTTTCATGGCAGTGAGCGGGGGCAGTATCCAAAATCAGCTGAACCCCGAAGGCAAGGTTCCTGCCCCAGGATAGCATTCACTTCCGGGACGAGGCAGTTGTGGGCTCAGTCCCAGGATCCTGGAGGCCGTTTGTGCTCTGGTGCGCCACCTGCTGGGCGAGCCCGCAAGGCAGAGTCTCCCGTTGACGTGCTTGTGGGAATCACCGAACCCCAGAGGGTTTGTTGTACCTAAGTAGTCCTTGGTGTTGGCACTTGATAGCAAGGTCACGCAGTCTCCGAGCGACTCACGGCGGGCTCTTTGGGCCACTTGCATTACACGGGTTCATTTGCCATCGTTTTAAAACCAGGTTCGTCAGCGTGGAGGAAAACCTGCTCCTCCACAAAACCTTTTTCATGCTCCGTGCTTAGGAGGAATTTCTTGAGTTCTTCCACAGATTCCGCATCTGCAGGACTTCTTTTACTTACAACCCTACATCACAACGTTACATTCTTCACGGAGGTTCCTTACAACACTACGTTTTTCGTGTAATATTGCTTTATGAAACGTGCAGGCCGGCCTGTGGTGGCTGAAGAGGGCCTGACATTTTCCTGACCCTGGTGATACGAGTGTAGACCTTTGTGGTTATCAGCCTCACAACCACACAGCCCCCTGCGCTCTCTGCATAGGCTGTCATGTCATGAGTCATCACTGCGACTGCAGTTCCATTGCTGTGTCCCGGATTAGAGATGTCACTTTAGCCCTTCCGGGTGAGTGTACGTCCAGACCAGTGGATGTCTTGTCCGTACTGTCGGTTCCTTCATGCTGATTTCACCAGAACACGTCACAGAAGCGCTGGACCAACAGCTGGGCTGACGTGTGGACCTTCTCAGAGGCCATTGCCCCCCCCCCCCCCCCGCGCTGTGGGACGTGAGGGAGCCCTTTAGTGTGACACTCCAGAGTGCAAAGACGAGATGAGCAACAAAAGGCAGAAACACGTGGCCCCAGTAGGTCACACAGAGGACATGTGCCTGGCTAGAAGCAGAAGCAAAGTGGCATGGCCGGGGCGGGCTCAGGGTCTCCGGGGCGGGGATTGGGGGCGTAGAGCAGCGCGCTCACTACCCTGCTTGCACACACAGACAACCAAGTACCAGGAGGAATGACTGGGCGCTTATACGGGGATGTACCGGGTATGTCAGCTCCCAGATACAGAATGAGGAATGGTCCAGATCATACAAAAGTGGATAGTGTGATCGTACACTTTTCTTCTTTTTTAAAGGTTTTTATTTGTTATTATTTTAGGGCTTGTTTTTAGGGTTACACCCAGTGATGTTTGGGGGTTACTCTTGGTTCTGCACTCAGAAATCACTCCTGGCAGTGCTCGGGGGGACCATATGGGATGCCGGGGATGGAACCCAGGTTGGCCGCCGTGCAAGTCAAATGTCCTACCTGCTGTACTATCACTCCGGCCGGATCATATACTTTTCAAACCTACTACTGTGGGATGCAGTTCTGTGTGGGAGATGAAATGAAAATGAGTAAGGGGGAAGAATGGAAAATGTAAATTTAAAAAGTCGAGCTTGTTCAGAGCTTATCTTAGATGGATACTATTATATCTGTATTGCATTTAGATCCCGTTGGATGATTTGAAAAAACAACCGTTTGGTTTGAGAATGTCCTTAAGATGTCAGAAATACTTTGCAACTACTTAAAATCGTGAAGAATTTTGGGCCAGAGCAGTAGTACAACGGGAGGGCATTTGCCTTGCACGTGGGTCACCGGCATCCCATATGGTCCCCTGAGCACGGGCAGGAGTGACCTTGGAGCGCAGGCCAGGAGCAACCCTTGAGCATGGCCGGGTGTGGCCCCAAAATCAACCAACTAACCAACCCAATCAAATCATGAAGAATTTAGGTGTTATAACTGTGTATGTAGTACATGATTTTTTGAAACTTGGGGAAGAGGCTCAAAACTACAGCTCTAGTTGTGTGTGTGTGTGTGTGTGTGTGTGTGTGTGTGTGTGTGTGTTCAATCTGTCAGGAAATGTTCCAGCACTCTCCCAGTAAGACTTTTTGAGCCGTGGGGGGAAACGCCTCATTCTCTTCCTTTCCCTTCGGTCGCTCCTGGACTTTACAGAACCAAGCACGGGAAACGCAGCGAGGGCCTGCCCCGCTGGAGGGGAGCGGGCGGAGCCGACAGAGTGGGCGTGGGTGGGCTGGGGCCCCGTCCTCGCGGCGCGGACCCGACCCTGCTCCGGGGCGCTGCACACGGGCGCCCCCGCTCACCGGCACGCGGGCGGATCCGCACGTGGGCCGAGCGCGCGGGGGCGCGGGCCCGCGCGGGGGTCCACGCGCTCACGGGCCGACTTGCACACGCGGGCCGGCCCCGCCCGCCGCGTGCGCGCCCCCGTCACGCGCGCCCCCGCCCGCCCCGCCCCGCCCCGGTCTCGGGCGCGGCGCGCGGGCGACGTCACTTCCGGCGCGCGGCTCCGCGAGGGCGGGGCGCGGTGCGGCCGGAGCGGCGCGGCGGCGGCGGGGGGCGGGCGCGGCCGGGCCCCGCCGTCATCTCGCTCTGTGTTGCAGGTGTACCCGGAGCCCCGGAGCGACAGCGAGTGTCTGAGCAACATCCGCGAGTTCCTGCGCGGCTGCGGGGCCTCCCTGCGCCTGGAGGTGAGCGGCGGGTGGGCGCGCGCGCAACGGCCGGCCCCGCCCCGCCCGGCCCGGCCCGGCCCGACCCGACCCGGCCCGACCCGGCCCCGCCCCCGCCCCCGATGCGCAGCCCCCGCCCCCTCGCCCCTTTCCCTTCGCCCCCGAGCGCGGGACCCCCCCGGGACCACCGTCCCTTGGCCCTCGGCCGGGCTTCACGCCCACAAGTGTGGGACCCGCACAGGGGCCCTGCCTTACCTGGACACGGGACCCCAGACCAGGGCCCTGCCTTACCTGACACGGGACCCCCAGACCAGGGCCCTGCCTTCCCTGGACACGGGACCCCAGACAAGGGCCCTGCTTTACCTGGACACGGGACCCCAGACCAGGGCCCTTCCTTGCCTGGACACGGGACCCCAGACCAGGGCCCTGCCTTGCCTGGACACAGGACCCCAGACCAGGGCCCTGCCTTACCTGACACGGGACCCCCAGACCAGGGCCCTGCCTTCCCTGGACACGGGACCCCAGACAAGGGCCCTGCTTTACCTGGACACGGGACCCCAGACCAGGGCCCTTCCTTGCCTGGACACGGGACCCCAGACCAGGGCCCTGCCTTGCCTGGACACAGGACCCCAGACCAGGGCCCTGCCTTACCTGGACACGGGACCCCAGACAAGGGTCCTGCCTTACCTGACACGGGACCCCAGACCAGGGCCCTGCTTTACCTGGACACGGGACCCCAGACCAGGGCCCTGCCTTACCTGACACGGGACCCCCAGACCAGGGCCCTGCCTTACCTGACACGGGACCCCAGACCAGGGCCCTGCCTTACCTGACACGGGACCCCAGACCAGGGCCCTGCTTTACCTGGACACGGGACCCCAGACCAGGGCCCTGCCTTACCTGACACGGGACCCCCAGACCAGGGCCCTGCCTTACCTGACACGGGACCCCAGACCAGGGCCCTGCCTTACCTGACACGGGACCCCAGACCAGGGCCCTGCTTTACCTGGACACGGGACCCCAGACCAGGGCCCTGCCTTACCTGACACGGGACCCCCAGACCAGGGCCCTGCCTTACCTGGACACGGTACCCCGGACCAGGGTCCTACCTTACCTGGACATGAGACCCCATCCCTATCCCAACGTGACCCAGGGGTCCTTCCAAATCTGACCCAGATGGTCTAGGGGCACCAGGTGGGGACACTTCCCTGCCCTTGGGCTCAGTCTCAGGGACCGGCCTGGACCTTTGCTGGTTCTGTCTGTGGGTGGCAGTGAGCTCCCACAGGTGCGGGATGACCCCCCAGAAGCCTCTGTAGAAGGATCTTCAGGAGGGAGGTTGGATCTTTCTCCAGAGCTCACTGTCAACATTGCACGCGGCCGCTTCTCTTGGAATTTAGTCTGTTTAATGACTGGCAGATTCTGCTCAGTGCCTACCATAGCCTTCTGGACCAGTACTGGGTGCGAGGTGGGTCTTGAGCAAGCTTTTGTAACAGAGGAGACGAACTCGGAATTGTAGTTGAAAGGGGTACACTTGTTTCTAAATCAAAGAATGGATTCTAACATTGTCTTATTTTTCATACACTCTATACTTTTCTGAGGAAATGTAAAAGATATCTTAGCGTTTTTTGGAGCTCTGTTGATAATGCATTTTTAAAACTCCTAGTTACTAAGAGGAAGTGAAAATTAAAAACTAAACTCGCAGCCCATCACATTAGAAACCTCCCACTGATCTCCGTTACGGGGAGGCCTGTGACAGAGGGATTCTTTGTGGTGTGGGCTGCCTTGGGCAGTGCCCAAGCCTTGGGCATGTCCAGCCGGAACTGCAAGGACCCCTCCCAGTCGCTCTGTCCAAAGCCTAGAGGGTAAGACCTAGAAAGGGACAAGCAGACAAAGCGAGGCCCATCCCAGAGACGCCTGCATGCTGACGTTGGCGTCCACGCTTGGAAGCCGAGACCCACACATGTCCTGGCCTGGCTCTGGGTGCCGGGGTCTCTGGGCCTGGCCTGGCTCTGGGTGCTGGGGTGCCTGTGTCTCCAGGTTCTGTGAACTGACTTGAGTTTGTAGTGAACCGTTTTTGCGTGTTCTTGTTTACTGCATTGTAAGAAATAAGCGGTGTGTCGGGGGTTGCACCTGGTGGGTGTCCAGCATTTATTCCTGGATGTGCTTGGAGTCACCTCTGCGCTGCTCGGGGACCGGGTGGTGTGGTTTAACTCCAGGCCCCTGCATGCAAATCCTGAGCACACCCCCTGAGTGGGCCTCACCCCTCCACTCAGCTGGGCAGTGAGCCGTGCCCCCTGCTGACTCCCGACTGTGAGACAGTCCCCTGACACGGCCTTCAAGCCCTACTGCACAGTCTGTCATTCTTGATGAATTTTGGGGTGTGTTTAGGTTTTTGCTGGGCAGTATTTTGAGAGTCGGACGCACGGATGCTGTTGAAGCCTGGCTGCAGGCGGTGTGGGCCTTAGGCTGACTGGCCTTTTCTCTTTCCTGTTACCCAGCCCGAGTCTCCGTGGCTGTGTGCTGTGGGCCGGGGGAGGGTGTTGCTTCTTGGCTGTGTCCCTGGCGCTGTGAGAGGCGGGGCGCCTGTCCGGGCGGTGGCACCGCGCTGGCGCTGGGCTTCCCGTGAGGTGCCGGCAGGAGCGACAGTGGAGTGGCCCGTCGAGCTGGCCGGCTCTGCCGCTCTTGCCGAGCCCCATCTGGTCTCTGCCTGCAGGTAGGTGACGTGTGTGTGAGGGATATTAATAGCCCTGGCGAGTGGCCTCTGCGTGTCTCGCGAGAGCCGCTGCCCTTGTTGCGGGAGGAGGGGGCGCCTCAGGACTCGGCAGCACCCCGAGACGGACTGGCTGCGGACAGGTAGGTGCTACGCCCCCCGGTGTGTCCCCACAGAGCCCGGCCGCGGGGCTTCCTGGGCCTTCCCCCGGGGCCCGGAGGGGCACTGTGCATGGAGCATGCGCCTGGCCCGGGGTCCCCCAGCTGCCCGCGATGCGCTCCCGTCTTCGTGTCGGCTCACTGTGGCGCTGGCACTGCACCCGCTGCCTGTCCGGAGCGCGGTTTCCCGCCGTAGTCTGTGCTGGCGTTGGCTGGGGGCTGACCAGCCCTCGGGCCGTAGGGTGTGCGGTGTTCCGAGGTTTCCTTTGTCCCACGACCCTTTGGGGCAGTGCCTGGGGCCAGAGGTGGCTCCTACAGGCCCGTGCAGGTGGCGGCGGTGGCCAGCAGGTTGTCCCTGCCCTGTGGAGCCTGTGCTCTCCCGAGGAGGAAGGCTGGGACGCGGCGCTGGAACCCCGTGCCCACTGGCCTGTGGCGAGTCCCCGTCCATGCAGTGGCCGCGCGCCAGGGCCGGGGAGCGAGGCCAGTGCGGCCGTGAGCTGGGGAGGTGGCAGCCAGTGTATCCCATGCCTGGGTCTTTGGGGCTGTTCTGTGGTGCTGGCGTCTGCCTCCCTTCTGTGGATGTTCACCCAGAGGGGTGCTTGCTTTTATCCCAGAGATCCAGAATGTTCCGTCGGGTAACCCCTGGCCCCCTTGTCCTCCGCAGGCTGGCTAGCTGCAGCTCGGCGCCCGTGTGTGCTGGTGGTCACTGTCGTCCTTCCTGGGGCCCTGTGGGCCTGAGCTCCAGTGGTGGGACGGGTTGGCCTGTTGGGGGTCCCTGTCCTTGGTTAAGAGACTCGGGTGAGGTCAATAATTAAATTTGGGAGATGAGATGAATCATCGCTTGGTAGGACTTAAAAGTGGCCAGAGCCCCATTCTGCCCAGGTCTCCTGCTGAAGCCCCTTGCCGGGTGTTGGTGTCCTGTCGGCGAGTCCCTGGGCTGGGCTGCCCCCACGCCCCCAGCAGGGATGGTGGAATGTGCGTGCCCAGCTCCGTGGCTATCAGGGTAGTGGGCAGGTTGGTCACGCCAGCATGCTGTTCATGTGTGCGTCGCCGAGATGTGGCCTCTCGCGTCTTCGTGGGGTGCAGACGGGGCCCCACTCCGGGTCTGGCTGGGCTTGGGGGGCAAGTTCCAGGATAGTCAGACCCACGGTGCCTCCAGGCCCAGGGACGGTGCTGCCTGGAGCTTGTCACTCTCGGCACGCTGTAGGCTGGGGCTCCGCTCAGCTGCTGGTGACCTGTGTTCCTTGTCCCTTCCGGGAGGGGCGCTCCAGAAGGGTCGAGGGCCACCTGGCCGGGCCTCAGAGCTGGTCCCGGTGGAGCTCTGGCACCAGGCGCCTGCTGGCCTCAACCGCCAGTGGGAAGCTTCTTTGTTGTCGCATTTCATTCATGGGCTCGCTGGCACGACCTTGCTTTTTTTTTTTTTTTTTTTTTTTTAATTTTTATTGAATCACCTTGAGATACAGTTACAAAGCTTTCATGGCTGAAGTTCAGTCATACAGTGATCGAAAACCCGTCCCTGCACCAGTGCACATTTCCCACCACCAATGTCCCCAGTATCCCCCCACCCTATCCCACCCTCCCCCTCCCTCTGTGGCAGACAGTTCCATGCTCTCTCTCTACTTTGGGCATTATGGTTTGCAATGCGATGCTGAGAGGCCATCACGTCTGGTTCTTTATCTACTTTCAACACACATCTCTCGTCCCGAGCGGTCCTGCCAACCGTTGACTCAGTGATCCCTTCTGTATCCCAGCTGCCTTTTCCCCCAGCTCATGAGGCAGGCTTCCAGCTATGGAGCAATCTTCCTGGTTTTTGTGACTACTGTCTGTAGGTGTCAGTGTCATACTGTTATTTTGTATTCCACAAACGAGTGCAGTTCTTCTATGTCTGTCCCTCTCTTTCTGACTGATTTCACTTGGCATGCTACTCCACTTAGCATGCCCATCCACTATTAAGCAAATGTCATGACTTCATCTCTCCTAACAGCAGCATACTATTTCATCGTGTAGATGCACCAAAGTTTCTTTAACCAGTTGTCTGTTCTCGTGCACTCGGGCTGTTTCCAGATTCTGGCTGTTGTGAACAGTGCTGCGATGAGCATAGACGTGCAGATGTCATTTCTACAGTATTTTTTTTTTTGTACCCCTGGGATTAC